TTTTTTCTAAAATTTAATAATGAATTTTTTCAAATTCTGATTTTGGAAAATGTCAAACACACCTAATACCTACTATTAGAGACCTGATGTCTTGACATTAAGTCTGTATTKTACCGTGATGGGGATAAAATCTTAATATACATTTTCGGCAAAATTATTCGGTAAATAATTCARTCGCTGAATTTCCGTGTGGAAAACTGGAAACAGAAGTTTCCAACTTTACAATACAWCACCTTCGAGTATTGCACAGAAAACTGTCAAGAATTTAAAAATGCGATATTCAAGTAGGTATGTTTAAAAATTTAAACATTCGGAATATATCGAATATTTACAAAGCGGAGGTTCGCATAGCATAAACTAACCCTAACCCAACCTATCATTTTTTTTTTCTAAAATTTAATAGTGAATTTWTTCAAATTCCRATTTTTGAAAACTTCAAACACACCTACCTACTTATTAGAAACCTGATATCTTGACATTAAGTCTGTAGTATGATGATAAAATCTTAACACACATTTTCAACAAAATTATTGAGTGAATAATTCAGTCACTAAATTTCAGTGTGGAAAATTGAAAACAGAAGTTTCCGTCTTTACAATACATCACTCTTCGAGTATAGCACAGAAAACTGTTGAGAATTTTAAAATGTGATAATCAAGTGTAATATATAAAAATTCAAAGATTCAGAATATGTCGAACAACTGCATTGTATTGAAGGAAAAAAGTCGTTAGCTTACTCGGCGAATCGCTCTGTATAATAATCTATATATATAAATATATATATATGTAGTATGCTCACACATATATTTTATTTTTTACACGTACTTACACTAACACACAGGTGTCGTAAACGTTAAAATCCAATTACCTACCGCTGACAATTTTTCTCTTTACACGTGCCTGGGGGGATTTCTGGTGAAAGAATTGAAGCAGATATACTCGTATATGTATATATATATTGGTTATATTCGTGGAAAACACAATGAAATGAAAGCGCAAAAACTTTCGACGAACAATATTAGTCATATGTGGTCGTAAGTCACATCGGGGCCTCAAAACTTGTCGGTTGACTAAGCATTCGAGGTCGATGAAGGAAATTAAGTTATTCGTCTGAAAGGATCTAACTTCTTTGATAATACCTATAGATCAGCGGTACTCACTAGGAATTTAGAAAGGGCCAAATACAATTTTTGAAAATTACTTGCGGACCGCTTACATTTATTTATTTATTTATTTATTTATTTTGTATCATACTTATTTTAATTTGTACAATCTTTTTAAAATATTTTCACAACAAGTAAAATAGCTGGAAAGTGGAAATATACATAAGGAAGCTTAGTTGGCTTGATTGAAAAATAAAACTATTCAATAATAATACTTCATATTACATTTTCAATGACAATAATCAAAAATATAAAAGTGTACAACTGCAGTTCACTGAATTTAGTGAAGAATAGTAAAAAAAAAAAAATAATAATAATAATAATAACGATAAAATTAAACAGGATATTTTTGTTAGGAAAGGGTATTTTAGGAAAATTTCATGAATGACACAAATGTTCTAGAATGTTCTCAACTGTTTCTTGGAATTGGGATTTTAGATTTTAGAATGTACGATTTAATTTTAGTGCGGGCCGCATTAAATTTGTTAAAGGCTGCGTAGTGAGGACCACTGATATACAGAATGTCCCGTGAGGATTTACCCATTGCGATATCTCCCGAAATAATGGTGATATCGAAATTCTGGTTTTGTAATAAGACTCACAGGGATAAGAATTACTATTATTTCATATATTTTAATTTATTTTAATGTTTTGGTATAAAAGTTAAAAAATATATTTTTTTATTTAAATATTTCCAAAAATATTAAAGATAGCCATTTTGTAGAGTTTATTTTTCTGAAAATATTGACGTTTCAAAATTGTATTTTCATTAATTTCATGATTTTTAGTATTTTTTTTTAGTTTCGAGAAAAATTGAGAATTATTTAACACCGTAATGTTATCAAACATGTGACCCGCCGCGCCGCACGCATTCTCATACGGCAGGCCGAATACTTTTCGTGTTCCTAGCTTTATATAATAGTTATAAATTTATAATCATATTTTATTTCTTCAAAACGGCACATCCTGTATATATGTATAATGTCTCATATAATTAATAATAATATATTGTTTCATTATTTTATTTTTTCCCACACCAGAAGCGATAAAATCAGAAACTATTTTATTCTCAGTGTAATATTATGTATTAAATATCAGAGACAGAGGACTGATGGAATATTATAATTTGAATGTACCTGTGAAACAAACGTTTTTAAACTATACTTACGCTTATAAAACTATTCAAATGAGCGTGGAAGATGACAAATATTTATTGTTATTTCTTGTTCGGAGCGTTTTACTGTAACCCATGATTATACGTAATTATTGTAAAAAATTTATCTGTACATAATTTTATGGAATCTAAACGTCGCGCGTCGATTAGTTTTGGAAAAAATTCTGCCTGTACTGTAAGATATGTTTATTTGTGTACAATATATTAATAAAATATTATATTTTTACATAAACATTACTTTTTGAACTTATATCATTAGATATTACATCAGTGAAAATATTTTATACCTACTTTGCTCAAATGCAATAGTATAAATTTACTTTTTTTAGTTTTCAAGAAGTTTTTTATTGAACATTTTTTGAGTAACTAGGCTCAGAATATTGTTCACTCTTTTTCTTATTTATAGAAAATGAGT